CAATAATTTTGAAAAAAGTCAAGCAGAATTATCAATGGTCTATTTCTAAACCATAGGATGACAAAATTATGTAGCTATTCAATACAGTTATATCCCTTCTGCTTTCCTTGTGAAATGTTTCACTACTGCCCAGTAAGTTTGTCGCTGTCTGTGTTCGATCATTTTGTCCATTCTTTCCGAACTAATACTCAAATCATACGTTACCCATTGGCACAGACGGTAAACACTTGTACCAAAATGTTTATATTTCTTATGAATATACTGTTTGAAAATAACCCTCCCTCTATAAAATGTTGCTAAAACATTACTTGGCTCATCAGACAGATCGGATGTTCTAGTCCATCATACAGGATGTTTCACTCAGGGCGGAACCCGGCATTTTGTTAATAACTCGGATACTAATAAAGATACTGCAACGAAATTTGGAGTGGATTTACCTCAGTTCATGTGAAGTCTGGTGACATCATAACAAGTGCTGGAAATGGCCACCATTTGTGTCCAGACAGCATTGGACTCAGCATGCCATGTTTTGGAAAGTCCTTGCCCATACGTCAGGTGTCACTTCTTGGATGGCCTCACTTATGTTTGCTTTTAAAACGTCTATGGTTCACGGTTTGTTGGCGTAAACTTGTGCTTTCAAATGTCCCCACAAAAAATAATCAGGCAGCGTTAGATCGGGCGAGCGCGGTGGCCAAAGTCCCCTGGAAATGATGCGGTCGCCGAAAAAAGACTGGATTTCGGCCATGCTTGCGCACGAGGTGTGTGCTGTTGCTCCATCCTGCTGGAAATAACCGATAGATAATTCCTCATCGTCCAGTTGATTCACAAAGCAGTGGAAGATATCTAGGTACGCTGCTGTTGTGATTGTCGTGTCAAAGAAGATGGGTCCAATTATGCGCCGCCAGGAAATTCCTCACCAAACACCAGTCTTCTTGGAATGAAGGGGTTCTTCGTGTATTGCACTGGGATTCTCGCTTGCCCAAATGCGACAATTTTGTGAATTAACATATCCGGAAAGATGGAACCACGCCTCGTCCAAAAACCAAGTGTAGTCAGAATGTCTGGATTATCCTGGACAAGGGTCTGTAACCATTGACAATACGCCACTCTCTTCATGTAATCTGGCTCTTTTAACTCGTGCACCACGGAGATTCAGTATGCATGAAGCTTAGATTTCTTCACAGCACGATAGCTTGTCGAAAGACCTGATTCCTGTGAAACTCGGCGCAATGACTTCTTAGGAGACGCCAGGAGTTGGCCCTTCACATCCTGGATCGTTTCCACTGACATTGCTGGACAACCTCCTGTNTGCACTGGGATTCTCGCTTGCCCAAATGCGACAATTTTGTGAATTAACATATCCGGAAAGATGGAACCACGCCTCGTCCAAAAACCAAGTGTAGTCAGAATGTCTGGATTATCCTGGACAAGGGTCTGTAACCATTGACAATACGCCACTCTCTTCATGTAATCTGGCTCTTTTAACTCGTGCACCACGGAGATTCAGTATGCATGAAGCTTAGATTTCTTCACAGCACGATAGCTTGTCGAAAGACCTGATTCCTGTGAAACTCGGCGCAATGACTTCTTAGGAGACGCCAGGAGTTGGCCCTTCACATCCTGGATCGTTTCCACTGACATTGCTGGACAACCTCCTGTGTGCTGATCCAAAAGTGTCCCCTTGGTTTCAAGTTTTTTGGACAATGCCCAAATTCTGGACTTACTCGGTGGAACTCTGCCTCCAAACTTTGCCAGGAATTGTTGTTGACATGCTTTGATGGAGTCTGTTTTCCAGTATGTGCACACAATAAACACTCACTGCTCCAGAGTGTACCAATCCATTTTTCCGTTGTGTACGCACTTCACTTCACACTGGCGAACAACACTCGAGAAGAACAACCACTCTGTCTAAACACCCTCAGCCGAAAGCGCAAACACAAATGAGACCAGCAGAGGCGAGTACGCAGGGGCTAGACTGGCGCGACACACTGGATGCAGATAAGGACAGCTGATTAACAGGCGCAACACATCGACGTCGTTGCTACTCCATGTCGCGAGACTCAGACGGCGCATTACACACACACACACACTTCATTTATCATGGAACAGACGTGCTAGTTTACAGTACTGTTAAAATTTCGTTGCAGTATCTTTATTAGTATCCAAGTTATTAACGAAATGCCAGGTTCCGCCCCAAGTGAAACACTCTTTAATCTTATCAGTCTTGCCTACTTGATTCATATTGACATTGGTTCTTGTAGAAATCTTGGCATATGAACACACCGGCTCCACTTTATCAAGTTACCACTAAACAGGATATTGAAATATTCTTATATTTCGCTGTGTAGCTAACATTACATCTCATTTTTATTATTAGAGCCAAGAAAACAAGCACCTACTGTAGAGTCACATTTTGGAGCCACAATTGTCTCTGATCCATGTCATATATATATATGTCTAAATATAGGCTGCATTTATACTGTGACATGATACTTTAAAGATGAAACAGAAAAATACACTGACAACAATAAAAGAACCATGGGAAGTGGTAGGAAGAGGCTATATAATGAGGCCCAATGGAGCCAATTAGATTCTGAAGTATCTGCATGATTCCCAGTGTTGTAAGAAGAGCAAAATATGGTCATGAGTCCCAAAGGACTCAGAACCAAGAATGACTGTGCTGGTAAGGGCCAGCAGTGATTTACCTGACTGGCTGATGATTAATTAATTGTAAGTCAGCAGTAGCATTTGCTGGCTTCCTGTGAGTATGGAAGCAGAGAAATCACTGCTGTTGGAAGCTGCTAACCAGCAACAACCAGTGAAGACAGAAAAACTGAGAACACTTAGTATGGGCTGCAGTGATTTGTAGAGTGTGCAAATCAGTAAGAGTGTGAGAGTTATTTGTAGTTAGAGTCATAAAAATTCAATAAATTCAGTATCAATCCAAACCCTGCGTCTAGTCACTAACACATGGCAATACTATTACTTGGGGTGTTCAAAAATGATTGACACTCAATGTTTTTTCTTCACAGTAACCATTTATTGGAACAAAATACATTCAGATTATATTAGAGGTATTCCCCACCAATGTCTATGCACCTTTGCCATCATTCTGGGAGTTTCCGTATTTGCACAGCAAACCATTCTTTGGGAGTGTCCTGGCACCACTGCTGGACAAATGCCTGAAGCTCGTGACTGGAGAGGAATGTCTTACACTGCATGACAGCTTTCACTGCATCGAATAGAGCGTAGTCGCTAGGGGCAAAATCGGGCAAGTATGGCGAATGAGACAGCATGGTGTAACCTAGAGCACCCAGGGTGCCCATGGTCTGCCAACTGCCATGTGGCCACACATTGTCATGTTGGAGAAGAACGCCACGCCCCCATTTTCCATGGCAGCACTGCTGAATGTGTCTGCGGAGTTGGTGCAGTGAATTGCAGTACCAATCACTGTTGATGGTTGTATTGGGGGGAAGCCAATCCAACAGAAGGATCCCCTCCCGATCCGAGAACAGAGTCGCCATTTGCTTCCGGATGAATAGTCCCGGTCGTGACTTCTTGCGAGGAGGGCTCCCAGCATGCTTCCACTCCATGAACTGGTGTTTCATTTCTGGAGTCTTGTGCCAGAACGACTCATCGACAGTGACTAGACACAGTCAGACCACACAGTCCACCATTGCCCATGATTGTCTGCTTCCAGTTGTCTCAGCGCTGTCCACGACTGCACCTGCACACCACCAAGAATGACGCAGCACTGTTCAACCTGTGCGCAGTAGCAACGTCATCTCATGACCATAGGCGGCACTATAGCACGTCTTCCGACATACACTGGCTCGCATTTGACACTGCTACTTTTCCAGAGTTATGGAGGGAGTGTCAATCGTTTTTGAACAACCTAAATAATTTGTCTCTGCTCCCAACAGTTATATCATGTCAATGAGGTAGATTCGGAAGACCAGGATCTGTGCAGATCTTTGTTTACATGGAGTGCCTCATGTGTCTTCAGTCTAATGAACCTCCCAACAAAAGGATAGATACCACCTGAATTACAAGTAAATTGTGGTTTGACCAAATTTTATTATCTTGGGTTCTGTTCCATTATTGTTATACTGTGGTATTTTAACTTTCACCCAATCATTCCAATCCATATGTTCCACTATCAATGTTGACATATTTGCCCTTGTGGTGTTTTCATTTATCTGATACTGCTGATTCCATATGAAATGTCAATGTTAAGAGTTTTTAGTATTTTAATTAGTGTGTCAATGTCATTATAAAAATAATGTCATATGTATGACTGTAACTGTGGGTTGGGTTTGGATTGGTAATTGGATTTACTGACCCTTCAATACAGCGCATGACTACATTTTATAGTTCACACACACATGCACACCAGTGTTCACAGTCACATCTTCAATGCTGTTGCTCAGCAGCAGCTTTCATCAGCAGACATTCCCCTTCCTCTGGGTTCTTGAACTGTCCCTGTACCTCAGCCACCAACTTCCCACAGCAACAGCTCACAACGACTGAACTGCAGCAGTCCTCAAACTAACTGACTGCTCACCAACCAACTCTACACTAACTCACTCTAGCAAGTCAAAGTCAAACTTATGTTACAACTGACAGTCAGGTAGCCAGTCTGTCTTGGTGTCAAGCCCCCTTCCAGAGCCCAAGGCCAAATCTGCATTACTGTCAGACATCTGCAGGTTTGTTGATGTGAGGCACCTCCTTTGACAAGAGGGTGGGTCTATCAGCTGTCTCATTTTCAATAACTCTGCTCCTGATTCAGTTTCCTTATCATACTGACATACTCAGTTTCATCCATCTTTAATTCTAGATCAGTTTCTTCATTGCTTGTACAGTTATGCGTCATGTTTATGGCAGCTATTTAAAATTTATAAAGTTCTAATATCCTAACATTCTGAACTGTCTCTAAGTAACAAGATACTGGTGAATATCCAGTAACTATAGAATATAAATTCAAAGTGACAAGTTCTTACCCCACTCCAATTATGGAAAGCTGTGGGTTGGTTTCAACATATCCCTTCTCCTTTGTCTTAACCAGCTGATAACTAACAATGGCCGCAGAAGTGCTCGTAGCACCCATGTCATAAAACATGATGTACTGGGGAGTCTCATTGAAATCCTTTCGACGAAATATGCCATAATTGAGAGCAACTGCAATAGCAATATGCATATCAATCACACTGCTAAAAAAGAGACAAATGTACAAATACAGCAGAAACGTCTTATATGAAGATTCTGTGTCCATGAATATTTTGCACTGCCATCCAAGTGAATTCCTTAAGTTCACAATATGACACTCTCATACCTGAGGAAAAAAAATGGTCTACAACTGAAAACCAATCCATTCCATTTCAACAAGACCCACATCACCTAATTCATATCCCTAACATACATTTTAATATTATCCCCAAGGGACTATAACAGAAACATAGAGAATAAAAAAAAAGTAACCTTAGATATTTGGTATATATAAATCTATATTAATAAATACAACAAAACTCTGACTTATGGTTGTTTTTTGTGCAGTGGACTGAACACTGAACTGCAAGAAATCTTACAAGATAGTAATTTAAAACTAAGATTATTAACAAGGCACAAGATTAACCATCACACGAACTTATGTTAAAACCTTTCTTGTGTTTTATTTGTAACCACATATTATATATTTCAAACATAAATGGTCATCATCAGGTGATATACAAAAATCAGTTTGAAGTATTTATACTGTAAGTGCAAAGTTTGTTAAAGCATTAAAAAATACATAGGTAAGTCAATAATTATCCGCACTGTAGCTATAAATTTTATTTCAATACAAATAGAAAACTTACATTAACATAATTTTTCAACATAGTCCCCTTGCTTTTCAACGCTCTTGGTCCATCGTTGCACAAGCTTCCTGATGCCCTCAGAAAAGAAGGTTTTCAGCTGAGCAGCGAGCCTCGCGTGCACCGCTTCCTTCACTTCTTGGTCCGAGGTGAATCGACGGCCCCTTTCCGTATTCCGTATTGAGGGGGTGGGTTTCCCATGCACTTAGACCGATACTGGTCCATTGTGCGTCCCCCTTTAATTTCTACTGTCTCCATACCCTACCGGTACTGGTGCTTACTATCAGCTCCTTTCTGCCAGCGAGGTTCCAACCTCTTACTGGCAGTGGTATCTAACAGTCAGTCCCTTTCTGTCAGCGAGGTCATCCCTCCTCTGGCAGGGGTTCCTAGTCCCTTTCTGCCAGCAAGGTTTCTACCCTCTACTTGGCAGTGGTATCTAATACTTTAGTCCCTTTCTGTCAGAGAGGTCCCCCCTCCTCTGGCAGTGGTAGCTGATACTTCCCCCATCTACCGGAGGAATTGGAAACTACTTGGGCAGGAAACTTGGCCTAATTTTGCTCAGAGGTCTCCTAGAGACACGAGGTTCTTTTACATGCCGTAAATCTATGACACGGGACCCACGGCTTAAAGTCCCTCCCGGAGGACTTGTTCCCTGAATTTTTCCGCCCTTAAAAATTCGACGACCTCCGCCGGGTATTTGAACCTGCGAACTATGAGTCATGAGGTGGGAACGTTACCTCTAGACTACGGAGGCCCCTTAATGCCTCTTTGAGTGGACCAAACAAGTGGTAGTCAGAAGGGGCGAGATTAGGACAATATGGAGGATGAGCCATTACATCAAACTTGAGTTTCCGGAGGGTTTCAGCAGTGTGGGCAGCAGTATGTGGACGGGCATTGTCGTGCAAAAACACAACACCTTTCGACAATAGTCCTCAGCATTTGCTTCGAATTTCAGGCTTTAGCCTGTCAGTAAGCATCTCACTGTAACGAGCACTGTTTATTGTTGTGCCCCTCTCCTGATAATGTTCCAGTACTGGGCCTTGTGGGTCCCAAAAACTGTAAGCATCAGTTTTCCTGTGGATGGTTGGCTTTTGAACTTTTCTTGCTGTGCGATTGTGGATGTTTCCATTCCATACTCTGCTGTTTACTCTCCGGCTCGCAATGATGGATACATGTTTCGTCACCAGTGATGATTCTGTCTAAGAAGACGTCACGTTCGTTATCATAGCGATCCAAATGTTGGCAGATGTCCAAGCGTGTTTGTTTATGCAACACTGTGAGTTGTTTTGGGACCCATCTTGCACAGACTTTATGAAACCCAAGTCTGTTGTGGATGATTACGTAGGCAGAACCATGACTAGTTTGCGACAATTTGCCACTTCATCAATAGTCACTCGTCTAACAGAACCATGTCACATGCATGCTCAATGTTGTCCTCATTTGTGGCCGTGGATGGTCATCCGGCTCCTTCCTCACGCGTAACACTTGTGCAAACATTTTTTAATTTTTCAATCCATTTGTAGACACTCCGTTGTGGCAAAACACTATTCCCGTATTGTACTGAAAGTCTTTGATGGACTGTGGCCCCTGATACACCTTCCGACCACAAAAACCGGATCGCTGAACGTTGATCTTCTTTGATGCAAACAGAAAGCGGAGCAGCGATGATTAACGGCAAGGCAGCGATGATGCAACTGACCTAGCAACATCAAACTTGCGCAGAAATAATGACAAGGAAACCGCACATGGCGATGCTGTGCAAAACGAAAGTGCTACCAACAGAAACACAAATACAACTGCATTGCGGATAATTATTGACTTCCCCTCGTATGTGGGGAGAATAATGAATTAGGTGAGATCTGATTTCACTTTAAATGGACATAAGTATATAATTGGCAGTACCTGTCCCAATACAAACATTCACTGTCACTTCTGACAAGGGAATGGTCTGATCTGACATGTCAAAACCTGTCCTGATTTTTTTTTTCACTGCAAGAGTACACACAACAAAATCCACTGTCAAAATTTTAGCTGCTAATACGCATGGCAAGTATTTTTTAAAAATTGCCGAAGTTACTCATTTTTTCTGTACGCAGAACTGCTTGTACCAGAGGTTTGTACAACCCCAGCCTAGGCTGTGAGTCAGCTGTGTTGTGTGTTGCATACTGCTCTGCTCTGCTCCAGCTCTGCTAGGGGTGGACATTTCTCCAAGGGTCTGGCAGGCTACAATATCGGCCATGTTCAGCAATTTTTAAAAAATACTTGCAGTGCATATTAGCAGCTAAAATTTTGCCAGTGGATTTTGTTGTGTGTACTCTTGCAGTAAAAAAAAAAAATCAGGGCAGGTTTCGACATGTCGGATCAGACCATTCCCTTGTGAGTTATTACATATTAATGCATAATACCTAGTTAACATCATAGTATATACAAAGGAGTCAGGAAACAGGTCACAAGTGGATATAAAATGTAAAATATGTGATAAGATAACCTGGAAAAAACATTTATTTCTCCACCAACACTGACAAACTTGTGTCCATCACTTTACCAGTGCATCAAAACCCACAGCACAGAAGTCTTTTCGCTGTTGTTTTAGCCACTTTCACACCTTCATTTCAACTTCTTCATCAGCGAAAGGTCTTCCAACAAGGCTGGACCACTTAATGCAACATTTCCCACCATAAACAGAAAACATTTCTTTATGAATATCCTTTGCAGTGAGTCCTTTTGACAACAAAAAATGCACAACAGAACACTGCTCTTTGGTAGCACAACCCTCAAGCATGCTCACCATTTTGACTACTGAAACCAGCCTCTGAACATGCACATGCACATGTGCTACTTTAACTGTCATGATGCTGGACTGTGCTGCTACCTAGTGATACACACAGAAAACCAATTACATCCATTACAGCTGTTTTACTTCCATTTGTGACCTATTTACTGACTCCCCTCATAGCTCAGGCATTTGACATTTCTATGCTAGATGTTCATCTCCCAAGTAAAGTCTCACCCAGTGAATCTAGACCAAACCACAACTTTATGTTGTAAGTTAAGTTCAACATCCAGATCAATATTTTGAAGTTTTTTGTTTGGTGAGCAGCTTATGCTAATAATGTAGGTACATTCTCTGAGGTAAGAACTGATGTGTTGAGGCAGTGTAATATGTGTCCTTGAAGACAGATTGATATAATAGACTGTGTGTGTTTGAAAGCAAAGACTGACATAATGTAACACATGTCCTTGAAGACAGCAACCTGTATGTAAGTATGGTTGGAGTATGATTGTATGAAGTTACTGTTTGGCTTAGATTGACTGGGAGTGACTATACATAGAATATGAACATATGGCATAGGAATGTGAAGTGTCTAAATTATATATATGACACAAAATAGATAAACTTCACATACATACTCAGAGATGCCAGTGAATGTCTGCATTGATACAGGTACTGTAAATGTAAAATTAAGTTGGATCTGACCTAATTCACTACTTTCTCCATATTCTTATGTTTAAACAAGAGCATATAATCATCTGACGAAGATAATTTATGGCTGAAATGGTAGTCTTCAACTTGAAATAAAAAGGGAGTATTTTAACATATGTTTGAAAATAAACACAAACAAAATAAACTTTTGTAAAACTACACTTATTACCTTTGGACTGCTGAAGCTGAACATTAAATAACGGAAAACTTTAAACTAAGAACATAAATGGAAATTTCACTGTACTGAATAGTGCCTTCTATATTAATGATCTTTTGCATAAATCTTGTTAACGGCATTTATGTTCTGGTCATTCATGCATCAATGGCTCTACAGCCCTTTGCCGGGCCCTGGCCTCTTTTTCAGTTTCATAATCTTTTTACACAGATTCCCTGGATGAGTGATCAGCCTACCGCAAGGCTGCTACTTATACACAGGACAACACAAACACAGAATAAATGCACACTTAGACATCCATGCCTTGAGTGGGATTCGAGCCCAAAATTCCAGTGTTCAAGTGAGCAAAGACAATTCATGCCTTAGACCATGCAACCACTGTGCTTGGCAATTTCTGTTAGCAATTTAAAACAATTTGTTACCACAGAATTCTCACACATCCTTTAACTAAAAATCTGACAAGAATCGTCCAAAATACCAATTATCAGGTACTGTCTATCCAAACAGAGGACTTGCATCTAGCATAGATGCACAGAGCCATTCTAACCTGCAACTGTAAAACACTGGCTCTAGTTCTCTACTATTGTTGTCTTCTTACAAAAAATACTGGGGTGGAGCAATTCAAGAAAATTTGCATGTAAGGGACAAGTAGTGCACGGTAAAGAAAGATAAATTATTTGCAATGAAGAGGCAAAACATACAATTATCTGCACAGATTCTGAAGTAAGAAACTATAAAGCATGAAGGCCAGGTCATTGGTAATGACATGCTCCAACAGCAAATATGCAAATTGTTTCAATCATTTGAAAGTTATTAGTGGGGAACAACATTTTTAGGACAGTGCTGAGCAAGAATTCAGTTTCATGGGTCAGTACATTCTCTCCTCGCATAATACATTCAAGCAGCTTCAAGGATTTCTTATTTTTAAGCTAAAGCAAAGTTTCAGAAACACTCCTCAAGCTATAAGATCACAAACAGTGTCACATTGTAACAGTTTCAAGTACTGAATGGTGAAATCACCTGCTGTGTAGTCATTCATGAGTTGTAGAATTTTAAGCCCTGCAAGCTCTGCCGCTTTCAGTAATGCTCTTCTTTCTGCTTGGTTGAAGAACCCAGGGACTGTCAGGACAGCTTCGTTGATAGGTTGACCTGCAGAATCCTGGGCAAATTCCCTGGCCCGATGTAAGAGCATTGCCAACAATTCTTCTGGGCTGTATAATGTCTCACTATATGGACAGATAATATCAGATGTAATGATGGAAATGGACAATGCAACCAGCAGTGCTGTAACTGCACAATAAAGGAGTAGAAAGATGAACTTGGGAGTATGTGTATGTTGAACAAGTCCTCCAGGAGGGACTTTTAAGCTGTGGGTCCTGTGTCGTAGATTTATGGCACGTAANGACATATTTACTGCTGCTAAGCTAACAACACTACAAATATCACAGCACCTCCAAATTCTTTAGCTTTAGCTTTCGGTGAACACTGGATTGGACACAAAGTCCCTGTCAACTGGTCTGCCCTATCCCCTGACCTTAATCCTCCGGATTTTTGGCTGTGGCGACACCTAAGGACTTTGGTGTATTCAGTACCGAGCAATGACTTAAGATGTATTACAGCAAAAAGTAGAGAATGCTTTCAACATATGCAAATCCCATCAATGCAACAACTGTTATTAACATACAAAGCACTACATGTTTCAACCCTAACAGGCCATCCTCAGGTGCTGCAAGTCTCACACACTCAACCACTGAACTGCAACGCTTGCATTCCCATTCATATACATATGGTTCAAATATTACTTGGTATACATATTCAATTCATCAACTAGATTAGACTAGACTAGACACTGATTAAACAGTAAGAGTAACAATTACATTAAAACTAAATCTAAAATTGATTTTTAAATGATTTTTAAAATGTTGTGAGGGGTGATGAGCTTCGTATCTGTTGTTGTAGTAGACCACGCTTAGCCTTCACCAGATTATTCTATTTGCTGTGAGACTTGCAGCACCTGAGGATGGCCTGTTAGGGTCAAAACATGTGGTGCTGTGTATGTTAATAAATAGTTGTTGCACTGACAGTAGAATATGTATATGCTGATTGCACACATGCAACAGGATGCAAACTTTAAAAACAGAGAATGCCTGTCAGGAGATTTGAGTAAAACCTACCTCCACACACAAGCACCAACATAAGACAGTATCCAAAACATAGTTTTAAACAAAAACAGGACAATGGATATTGTTCAGGAACATATTAGTTGTCATAATATACCATTGTCACCTACTTTTAAGCCTTACAATAAAATAATTCACTTCAATTGCTCTAATTCTGTAGTGACCTCCAACTGTTAAAGAATAATTACTTTATAATGGCATCTATGATCAATTATCACATTTTTAGCAGTATAAATGTCATTTATTTGTGTAGTTATGGTTTATTTAATGACACTAAGTAGCTCAGACTGTTTCATGTCAAATGATACAATGATTAGTGAATAATGAATCTGAAATGACACAGTCATGGTCTAATTTGAGGTATTATCCCAGCTTTCGGCTGGAGGGAATGAGAAAAAAAAACTCAGTCAAGACAGCCAGTTTCTTGGTCAAGTTTTGAACTCAGGACCTTCTATATACAACACAGTAATTCTACTCACTTGACTGCAATGTTTTGTAGAATAAATCTGAATGGTGGCAAATGATCACAGAAAAAGCTGCCAGAATTTCTTTCTTTAAAATGTATCTGCCATAAGCAATAGTGATGAATTGTTTTTTCAGCTCAGAACACTGATGTGATGTCAACAGTCTGTATAGTGTAGATCTCTAACCATATGCAAATAATCATACAAATATGTGATTTCTTAGTGACCAGAGAAACTCTTAAACAAGTGCTGCTCCAAACCCTATCACAGACAGACATACAGAACTGGTTCACTGACATTTGTTTTGGAGAGAATATATCAAATGACCTGTTACTACATTCACTATGGATAGAGACAATGTATAACACCTGCAATATGTGGTAATATGAACACTTAGTCCTTAAAGGGTATGACTGTTACACAGCTTACCTATCGTGCTGAAAGAGAACTGTATCTCTTTCAGGATCTGGAACAATGTTGTAGTAAGGAAACCGTTGTTTGTAGAGTTGAACAACTGGATTATCCACCCTTTTACCTAGAAGTTCCAACAGGTAACTGTAGCTGTTCTTCGGGAAACGTACTCCAAGGGTAGCAGCATCTTCACCAAATGTACGTTCACCATCACGGAATGCAATAGTTACAGGAGTCTTACGTTTAGATTCCTTATTCAGTGCTATTTCCATCGGCACTCCTGGCTACAATATATTTGGAAAGATATTCAAGTGACTGTTTTTGTCACATATAAGAGACTATTAAGACTACAGGTTCAGAACTTGTACAGTTTCATGGACTGGACATGAGACATCCATGCTAAAACTATCCTGAAAATACTTGAAATTTAGAAATAGCAAATTCATCAAGTAAACAAATATACTTCATACATAACACAAAAAAGAAAATGTCACCGCTGTTGTCTCCATTCCCCCAAGGTGAGGAAGGCAGCTATAATGTTAAATGCGGGCATATTGTTCAAATGGACAATTCTACCATTTGCAATGAAAATCATATATCAGATGATAAACGAACAACTTTTTAAAAAGAAAAATGATATAAGTAAGTCGCTGTGTGGATCTCAATGAAATTCTCACATGTTGTAAGGAATATATGTAAGTATGTTTATGAAAAGACCTATTCAGTTTGGTTACTTCATTACACAGAAAAATATTTTACATTCTGAATGTCAAAATAATCACTTTACATTCATACTACATTACTAGTAATAATAACACAAGAGTGGGACAAAGGAACCTGACACTTTTTAAAATGTGTTGGCAACCTCTAAGGATGAGAGGATGGGAACCATGTCATTTGCTAGCTGAACTGATGCTGTTGTAGAAGCCAAGGAGCAGTGGAGTGTGCAAAGTTGTGGATTTATTGTTGAAAAGTTTTTTCTTTAAAAACGGTGTTTCTGTTGTTAAAATGTAGTGAATATTTTGCGAGCATTTCAATATTGCTCATCATGGAAAAGTTCCTTGCCACAATACCATAGAGTTATGGGTAGAAAACTTCAGGACGAGTGTTTCTGCATTAAAGAGGAAGCAGCCAAGTAGTGTGCATACAGCACGATCATCACAGAACACTGAGGCTGTGAGGTAATCATTCATACAGAATCCCAGGTGTTCAGTCAAGAGATATTCTGTTCCTCTAGGAATATCCAATTGCAGCATGACAAAAACATTACACAAGGATCTAATTTCCATCTGTACAAAATGGTTGTGGTGCAACAGTTAAGCGATCATGACATGGCAAACTATAGCATGATAACTGAGCACTTAATCAGAATTTTGTGTGACAATGTCATCATCCTTATGAGAGATGAATATCTACAGCAGGTCCATCAACAATCTCTTCACAGTGTATGAGTGACTGCTTGGTGAGGAGTGGCAAACTTTTGAGTCACAGGTTCTTATTTCTTTGAAGATGAAAATGGGCAACATCTTAGTGATGTGCTGTTCAAAATGAAATAAACGAGACATAATTAAATGTATGTGGAATAAACTGGCACTCAATGTTCATTCATTTTGTAACAATAAATCAGAATAAAGTTTCACTGCTTTATATACTTTTGAAAATCATCAGGTTCCTTTGCCACACTCTTCATAATAAGAGAAAATTCTAAGTTTTATGATGAAATTATAGGTGACATGGTGACCTGGCTCCTGGAAATTGAGCTGGCCTGTAATGTACCACCTGCTGTAAAAGTAAAGGGAAATACATTTTGCCCAGAATGTATTTACATCCATGATTCTTCAAATATTCATAAATAATGTTTCACTAAACACCACTAAGAATTTGTCCTTAAAATGCAGATGCAATGCACTTCCTGTGTGACAGTAACGGAGTTTGAAATATTATTTAAAAGAAACTCATACTTCAAAAGGTTAAACAGAAGGGAGTAAACATGTAAGATTTGTTACACTAAGTGTATGTTTACCAACTTCCTTATGACACATCTGGTTTTACAATATAAAATTTATAAAAATAAGTTTTTGTAATGCTGATTTTGTTGTCCACTGTTCTAAAATCAATATGCTATTTCCAATACTTTCAAAGTTTACTTTTATGAAATAAAAATGTTCCTTACTTTGTCAACTATAAATGCTAACACCTTTCCTTAAAGTTACTGGACATTTACAATCAGATAAAATAGAGCTTACAAAGCCTATGAAATGTTAGTCAGATGTAAATAACCAAGTATAACTAGTTTACATCTCATGATGGAGATCTACATCTGGTTCTAATACACATAGAATACCAAAAAAAGTGTACCCCACCAGAAGCAAGAAAGGAGTTCCAAAAAGTGGGGGGGGGGGAGGAACCTTGGAAAAAATATCTGAGAGAAATATAGAAGTGACAGCCTTTTATGGCACAAGTCAGGCTGTGACTTTCTTAGGTCACATGTTATATAGGTGGTAATGATGTCATTCTCAATGAGGTTGGCTGAACCATGGCTGTGTCTTTGGTGGGGATGCATCATGGACCAGGGATGCATTGGGACACCTCCTCGTGGTCCCGCTGGGCAACAAGTCTCAGGGTCTGTATCAGTATGACCTACCGGGGCTGGCAGCTAAGTTCCCATAAAGGGCAATGGCACTATGACTGGAGCCTCCCACATGGCAGCATAATGACTCTTAGGTATCACTACAGTGTACCCAGGACAAATGCGAGAGACCACTCCGATGGGGGTAGCTTCGGCTATTTGAGTTGTCTCCCTAGAGTACCGATAAGGTGCCGCAAGACTTAGGGCTCAACACTCTAAAACGGTTTGACCAATCCATGTGGAGGGGTGGGAATGGGGGAGCTCATAAGCCACCCCCAGGGGCGACTCTCTAATGTAGGTTGCCCTGGTCGCAACCTCCCATTAATCATCTGGGTTACCCCTCTCCCCCTGAACAGGCACTCTTCGTCCTGGAGGCTTGCGAGGGTTTCATTCACAAAAGGACCAGATCACTTAAGGCAAGGTGTGAGGCATCGTGCTGAGGGCTGCATGGCACCAGGGTGGTAATTAGCCAGTGTCTTGAACGATCCCCCTCGGGGCACCTGGCAGCACCCCATTGTATTTATGCCTTCCACCTGTATGGAGCATTGCAGGTGACGACCTTTTAAGTCCCCATGACTCGTGGGACCAAAATGAAAGGAACCAAACTAAAAACCAGTCGTAAGGACCTTAAACTGAAGAGGGACCCCCTCCAAGGGGATCCCTATGAGAAATGCTTCGGCAGGGGACTGGAAGCTCGGGTGAACCCACTAAGGGACCCAGTTGCAATCAGCGAACCTGCTGTTGAACTTTCAGCCTAAGGCAGGGACGAACCAGTGGTTCGAAACCTACCTGCAGATGTCAAGTACCTTGGTCTAGTAACAGATGAGGAACTGACAAGGAAAAAGCAGCTGGACAAGGTCATCAATAAAGCTTATAAGGTCAATAGAAAGTCCGTCGAGTGTAACAATTTTTTAGGTCACTTCTTTATCACTTTTGCCTTACATGTTTCGGTTTAATAAAACCATCATCAGAGGCACATAGTACAATCATGAAAACACTGTCGTTGTTTAAATGTACACAGTATATATGCTGCGTGGACGCTGCTACAATATGTCGATGTGTAAAAGCACAACACTTACTAGGATTATTGAATGCACGTTCAACTCTCGCATTCCATCCGAGGGCAACTTGAGGGCAATTTCGGATGGAATGCGAGAGTTGAACGTGCATTCAATAATCCTAGTAAGTGTTGTGCTTTTACACATCGACATATTGTAGCAGCGTCCACGCAGCATATATACTGTGTACATTTAAACAACGACAGTGTTTTCATGTTTGTACTATGTGCCTCTGATGATGGTTTTATTAAACCGAAACATGTAAGGCAAAAGTGATAAAGAAGTGACCTAAAAAATTGTTACACTCGACGGACTTTCTATTGACTTTGTGATTGACAGTGTAATGGACCAAAAATGAAACATTTCAAAAAAAAGCTTATAAGGCTTTTTGGACATGCAAAAGCATATTTGGTAAAACTTGGGGACTGCAGACGCACGTTGTGCATTGGATATACACTGCAGTTGTAAGACCCATAATTACATACGGCGCCACAGTATGGTGGCCCAGAGTTAAACTCAAGACAAGCAAGGCAGAACTTAGCAAACTGGAAAGGTTGGCTTGCTTGGGTATCATAGGAGCAATTCAAACATCTCCAACAGCTGCACTGGAGACACTCCTTGGACTCTCCCCACTGCATCTACAGTTGGAGGCAGAAGCCAGGGCAGGAATCTACTGTCTCCAGTGCAGTGATCAATGGTAACCTAAATCAGATATTTTCAGACATGCATACATAACTCAAGACATGAAAAAAGAACCCATACTACAAATGGGGTCTGACAAAATGATACTGAGACATGTATGTGAAAAACCTTTCACATTCAGATTTCCTGACAGGAGTGAATGGGAAGACAGGTTTTGGCCCGATAGAAAAGAGGGACTGATCTGGTATATAGATGGTTCCAAGATAAATAAGGGCACTGCAGCTGGTGTGTACTGCTATGGCACGAGGCAGAAACTTAGTTTCAGCTTTGGGCAGTACATGACAGTATTCCAGGCAGAAGTATATGCCATTAAGGCATGTATTATGGAGGATTTAGATAGGAACTATAGAAATAGGAACATTTATGTTCTATCTGACAGCCAGGCTGCATTTAAAGTGCTTGACACGCACCAGATCATCTCAAAATTGGTCTGGGATTGCCACCAAACCCTCATGGAACTGGTCAAACATAACAGGGTACAACTGACATGGGTGTCAAATTCTGTGTACGTTAATCACATGCTTTTGCGTGCGTGCGTGTGTGTGTGTGTGTGTGTGAATATCACTACATTATGGCCACATGTCTAGGAACCATTCAGATGTCAGTCTGCCTTCCTTGTCATGAATACAAGCCAAATTTCTTGTAGCAATGCCTTCCCATCCTTGATGTAAGCAACCAGGATGGGAAAAATTCACACTGCTACTACTGTGATCTGTCCCATGCTTCACCAGTCCTTGTATATGACCTATATACTAATTCCTGAAATTATTACTATAAAATCAATTCAGTAATCCATGTGAAAGTGGAATAAGATATGGCACCATTCTATAGAATAACCTTTAGTCAGTAAGTTTTCCAGTCATCATTGATGCTAAAATGAAATTAACTGCATGTTCCATAACTAGCAGTCAACAGGTCTGAATCAGTCACTTGAGGAGAAGTCTGTGCACTCTGCCATTAAGAATGAAGTTTTAAAATCTCCACATGGTCCATCACTTTCAATAAATCTCATTCATGTATTACTAAATGTCCTTTTTTTTGTGTTATATTATGGCCATATTCTACCACCTTAGCTTAAGAAATGTATGTAAAATGCACGATTGACGGTGCAGGAAACAAGTGACAAAATAATTCTTTTCGTGGCTCCAGTATGCTCAGCTTCCTTATGTGCAGTTTAGGTTCCCTTATTACACCATATTCCAAGGCGGTGCTTGATACCAGAGTAATTCTCCCTCATTGGTTTTAATGGTCATGTTAGCTTAATTTAATTTATGAGACACAGACCATATTCTGCTCTTTCACTGTAAATATACTTTAGATACAGAACTATATAAGATTATATGCATAATTACCGAAACAATTGCAATCTTCATCCACTCACTACCAAGATCCACACTCATAACTGCTACTGACTCAATTTCAGATGGTAACAGCAGCAGCACCACCATCAAAAGGAAACTCACACAGAACCTGATATCCATACCTGCAAAGAATTTACACATAAACACAAAATATCTTGATGGTATTTCGTAATTTACTGCTACTTCTCTTCGCGTACGAGCACAGGTTCTGACTTCAATACAGAGGAGTGCGATAATTAGGGATTTCAAAACTAGTGCACGTTTTGGTTATGTTTCAGTTGCAATCGTTATGGTTGCTTACAGCAATTTCTTATGAAATAATAAGATAAAAATTGTAACCATTTCGAGCCACGTTATACCTGATGTACTATACTGCCATTAAATTGTATCAATAGAATATTAAATTGTTGAAACAAATATATCCATGGAAATATTCAAAGTGACATTTACTGTTTTTGTCGAGTTCAGTCACTGTACCACTGCTACATACCTCTAACAACGAAGCCGAATGCCTTTTCAGATCTTCTTTAAACTCGAGACTAACTATTACGGTTTACTCTTTAGTGCAAGAAATACTGTAAGAAACATGTGACGTCCACTAAACCACGACGACGGTACTGCTTCAATTCTTTCCATCAACAGTCCTATCCCATATAGTCGCTTGTGTGGCGAAATATCATTGGTAGGAGTAATCACTACTCTCGAAGCGATTGGTTTATTGCGAACTCGCTGTTTCCATGACAGGTGTATAAGCAGTGGAATGGTCATTCAAAATTGAGTCCAACCATGTGATACCGGTCATTGTTAAGACTGATACCGCTTCTGTAGTGACACCTAAATATTATGTTTGTCAGTTACAATAATTTTAATGATTGAATAAAAAATAACCAAATAAGATATGCAATTTTAAAACCTGTGACTTTCATTAAATAAAATGTCATCAAAAATAGACAGTAGGGTACATATTAATGTTTAGGTAAACATACTTGCTTTTATGACCATTGCTCACAGTCTGTTTTGACAAATGACAGCACCGGCAAAACTACTTACAAGCACTGGCGTTACTAAAGCATACATCCCAGCTCCCAACAGATGGCATTCTGTGACCTCAAAAGTTGGAAGTAATGTGACCCCCACCCAGTAACATTTTAATTGAAGTAACAGATACTTTTGTATCTTTCCATTCCCAACCTAAAACACTGAAAATGAATAACAAGGAATGCAATTTATAACAAGGTTTGGGTAATTCTAACTTTACAACTAAAGTGCCTAATTCAGAAAAATTCCAGTTGTTAAAACCATCAGAAGATATTCCTTATTGGGCTTTTTTTCATACGATAGTTATAGTTACTTAAACAAGACATAATACAACTGAGCCAATTCATAAATTTAAATTTGTCAATTAAGAAGGAAGACAAATTTTTACTGTTACTAAATATCAGTGGGGACATGTGGTAGCATAGTTGGTTGAGGCACTATGCTACAAGCCAGATGATCGCAGGTTTGATTCTCTATGAGGTCAATGGATTTTTTTAAACTGACCCCATCCTTCCATCCACACTATGGTCTGGGTACAACTTAGCCTCTAACAGAAATGAGTACCAGGAATCTTCCTGGGGGTAAATGGGGGCCAGCACATAAAGCTGACAACCTCACCACCATTTCTGAGCATATCTTCTAGAAAATGTGGGGGCTTCAGTGTTTCACAACACTATGGGCCTCCATGGGCTAGTACAGGGATAGTTTTACTTCACCAAAGTATTAGTAATCATGAACTGAGAAAAACTGTTGCAACTTTCATTCTTAATTTGTAATGGGAGCAGAATGGTTGCCTTAAGCATACTTCTGCATCTCACAGGAAGCTACCAGAATTTTGGTAAACAAATGAGTCAGTCATTTACACTTGTGCTATTTCTTGCTTTAACTAGGTGTATTTCCTCAAAAAGAATAGTCTAATAGCTTATATTTATTTATTTACTTATAAATATTTAACCATGCTGTCAGTAGCTCAGACCATATGGTGTCAAATGATAGGCTGAAATTAAAGCTCTGGGGAAAAGAAACTGAAAAGACAGCAAGGAACAGACCAGTCTGGTAGAATCATCTAAGGAAGGTGATGGAACCAAAGGGACCAGTCTGGTAGAATCATCTAAGGAAGGCGATGGAACCAAAGGGACCAGTCTAGTAGAATCATCTAAGGAAGGTGATGGAACCATGTTTTCCAATGATGATGATGGGCTGAATAATAAGTAATGAACTGACAAGGCACAGATGATACCAAAAAGGCTGGTCTAGAGGTAAGTGTGGCTGGTTTCCATTTTTAGCCTAATTTCCTTATTTAAAAAAATAAAAGGTAGGCTTATGAGATCACCTGTGTATCTCCTCCTATAAACTTGTGAAAGCCTGAACCAATCATTATTAAACTTGGTAGGTAGAGCATGGCAACTGAGCCCATCTCAACTGCATACTCCTCAAAACCACCCATCAGTTTGTGTGTCTGTATTTGTAACCCCCTTATTTTTACTAGGCAACAGATTGCTAAACATGTTCCTGCAGCAATGAAGAGACACAGCAATCAAATTGCTGGATGTTTCATTTTCTATGAGGTCTATGTTATATCAATGGAAAGCTGGTGATTGGTTCTTCCCAGAACTTCTGGTCTTTTGTATTTGATAATGGGGTATTCATTTACTTTGTACTTTGTATCTATTAAAACTGCTTGCACTTCACTTGTGAGGTAATTCTACAGAACCTTCTGGGGGAATTAGAATGATTTCTGTACTAATATTTTCGGTTTTCCTTTGATTTTAATGGAAATTTGAAAATTCTCATTCTGATCGAATTTCATTATGATGATTTCAAACCATGAGCATCCACGCATACATTACTAAAAATGGGCCACTTAGGAAAGAAATATTCAAGTCAAGATAGTAAGCAAACCAGCTGTCTGGTATACCTTGGTGCATGACTAGTATTAAAATTATAACACATGAACAACAAATGTGAATTTGTGTAAGAGTGTAGTGTTATATTCAGCTTCATGGCTCTTACTTTGACAGTCTGTAATACTTAAGAAAACAAAATTAATATCAATCAATTAACTACAGATCTGGAAATAAGATTCCATTGAACTCACCCACTTCAACTTACACATATAAAGTAAAACAGAGTGCATAATACACAGCGTTTCCAGGTTCTGTTAGGACTGCGTTCATTAAAAATACAAGATGTGAATTATTTTAAAAAATGTCACTCTTTTCATTCAAAATAGTCTCCTTCTGAAACAATACGTAGCTGGGATCGATTTAAAAGTTTTCAAAAACAGTCACTGTACTCCTTTAGTGGAATCCCATTTAAAACTGCGGTACAGTCCCTTTGGATGTCCTGGATGGTGTTGTGATGGTCTCCTTTCATTACGAACTTAACTTTTGGAAACAACCAGAAATCTTCTGGAGCCAAATCTGGCGAATACCAACAATGATCAAGGACTGTGATCCCTTTTCTGGCCAAAGAATCGTGCACAATCTTCGATTTGTAGGGTGGGACATTGTCGTGCAGGGACGACCAGGAACCTTGCTCTCGATATTCAGGTCGAATTCAAAGAATTATCACCCACAAACGATTGAGGACTCCCAGACAATAATCAGAATTCACTGTTTCACCTTCTGGAAGAAATTCCTTGTGAATGTTTCCTTTGGAATCAAAGAAAACTGTTAGCAGTGTCTTTACTCGACACTTTCACATATGCTTTCTTTGGTTTCAGCTTCTTTGGGCTCAACCAAGCTGCACTCTGCCACTTTGTGAGAGGCTCATATTGAAAACACCATGTCTCATCACCAGTAACAATCGATTTTGTAAATTCTGTATCACTTTGGGCAGTGTTCCACTCTGGCATGTTTTTTATCACCTGACAGTGCGTGCAGTACAAACTGCCCACAGACCTTCTGTTTGCCCAAATCCTCAGTCAAAATTTGATGCACAGTACTTCATGGTATTCCAAAAAGCTCCTCAATGAGTCTTGCAGAAACACATCTGTCTGATGGAAGGATTTTGGTCACTTTTTTCACATTTTCTTCAGTGCAACTTGTTCTCAGCATTGATGAGATGAGCATCACTGATGAGATGAGCAGGGCATGTAACATACATAGGAGAATGAAATAGATGAGAAGCACACACAGTATTTTGGTCAAAGAACCTGAAGGGGAAGAGATACATTAATATAATTCTATCTGACAGCCAAGCTCCCCACCAATGGTATCTCCACTTTATCGTGGTGGTGGGGTTTGAGCGCTATGCCGGCAGTAGCATAGCTACTGGTAGGGCCACCCATGCTGGACAGGTCAAGGGGTAGGAGCCAGACAGAGAGGGATACCCTGGTCCTCCATGTTGGGGGTTGGGCGTGAGGCCAACAACCTCACACCGTAAAAACTAAATTGTTCAGAAATCCAAGGAAAGAGTAGCCAGACGGACGTATTCAAGACGACCTGGAAAATGTTTAAAGGATTTGAGAATTGGATCTTGGAATGTATTATCTTTTTACAGAGCCGGAGCACTAAAAATGCTACTTGAACAACTAGATGGCTATAAACTAGATATCACTGCTATACAAGAACTGAGGTGGTTGGGTAAAGGAGTAAGAGCCACATGTTTTGAACAGGTTTTATTGTTAATAAAAAAAAAGGAAGCATCTTATTTTANAATGAAATAGATGAGAAGCACACACAGTATTTTGGTCAAAGAACCTGAAGGGGAAGAGATACATTAATATAATTCTATCTGACAGCCAAGCTCCCCACCAATGGTATCTCCACTTTATCGTGGTGGTGGGGTTTGAGAGCTATGCCGGCAGTAGCATAGCTACTGGTAGGGCCACCCATGCTGGACAGGTCAAGGGGTAGGAGCCAGACAGAGAGGGATACCCTGGTCCTCCATGTTGGGGGTTGGGCGTGAGGCCAACAACCTCACACCGTAAAAACTAAATTGTTCAGAAATCCAAGGAAAGAGTAGCCAGACGGACGTATTCAAGACGACCTGGAAAATGTTTAAAGGATTTGAGAATTGGATCTTGGAATGTATTATCTTTTTACAGAGCCGGAGCACTAAAAATGCTACTTGAACAACTAGATGGCTATAAACTAGATATCACTGCTATACAAGAACTGAGGTGGTTGGGTAAAGGAGTAAGAGCCACATGTTTTGAACAGGTTTTATTGTTAATAAAAAAAAAGGAAGCATCTTATTTTAGACTTCCAGGCAAAATCTCACAGAACATGTAGGCTACAATTAAGGGAAAGGTTTTTAACTATAGCCTTATTTGTGCACATGCCCCAACTGAAGATAAAAGTGATGACGAGAAAGACTCCTTTTATGACAAATTGGATGAAATATATGGCGAATGTCCAAAAATGAACTGTAAAATAATCATAGGGGACATGAATGCTAAAGTGGGGAATGAGGATGTATATAGATCGGTTATTGTAAAACATAGCCTACATATAAAGTCAAACGATAATGGGATGAGATTAATAAATTTTGCTTCCTCAAGAAATATGGTAGTACGTAGTATAATGTTTAATCACAAGGATATATATAAACGAATCTAGAAATCCCCTGATGGAAATGTGTTTAACCAAATTGATCACATCCTAATAGATGTAAGCAACTCTTCAAACTTGATGGATGTCAGGAGCT